AAAAAAAAAAAAAAAAAAAAAAAAACGAAAAAAGAAAAACATTAAATGAGAAAATGGCCAAAACTCTGGCATTCATAATCCCTGCTTGAAAGGGGAGCACGGGCCTGTCCTTTGCCCGTGCAGCCTGGCCTCGGTGTGTGTCGGTGGGGCGCTGACTCGGGTAGCACAGGAGCTTGGCAGGCTCAGTTGCTGGCGCTGGCTGGGCCCTTTTGTCTTGTACAAGACGGGTATCTCAGGCAAAGAGAGGCCAAGCTAGGACGAGCAGGGCACAGCCGGTCCTGCAGCGGCGCCCCTAAGGAGCCCGGTGTCTGATCGTGCTGAAGAACGGCTTCCCTTCCTCCTGCCCCCGCTTCCATTGTGAGAATTGCTTTTAGCACTCCTCTCATAAGCGCTATGGACTCTATGGACCTCTGTGAGATCAGAGTACCTACCTATCTTTTCTAAATTTTGATAGCTGTGAAATTTTCATTGGAGACAAATGATGGCTGCCTTCAAATTCTCCGGTTTCCATAGATTTTGACATGTTCATCAGTGTTTTTCGTTCTGGGCTTTCTTCATAGTTTTTGCAACCAATGCACTTGCATATAGAAGAGCACATAATTTTGGCCTGGGAACATAAAATACTTCAATAAAATTAGGTTGCCCTATAAGCCATTGAAAGTGACAACTTCCATTGAGATCTTAAGTTATGTATACATGTGCAGCCTGGGACTTTCTTTTTCTTTTTCTTTTTCTTTTTCTTTTTCTTTTTCTTTCTTTCTTTCTTTCTTTCTTTCTTTCTTTCTTTCTATCTTTCTTTCTTTCTTTCTTTCTCTTCTTTTCTTTTCTTTTCTTTCTTTTTGACACAGGGTCTCACTATGTAGTTGAACTCACTTACGTAGCCCAGGCTGGCCCAAATTCACAGCGATCCTCCTGCCTCATCCTCCTGAGTGCTGCAGTTACAGGCATGCACTACCACACCCAGCATATGATTTTCTTATGGAAAGACAGAAGCAGATGCCAAGAGAAGTAAACGGTGTCAGTGTGAAAAGAGGTGGTACGTTCACACCCCTTGCTGACAGCAAAGGCAGGGTGTAAGGTGAGCCTCGAGTGGGTGAAGGTGGGGAACTAGCCAACTGCTGCAGCAGCCTCTCAGTTTGAAGCAAGCCTCATGGCCATGACACTCCAGTGCAGTGGGGACACATGCAGGACACCCTGTGGTTGGGAGTTTTCAGGAGACCGTTCCTCTCCCAGGCATACACTTGGAGTCTAGTATTGCCGGGCCCTCCACCTCAGTGGCGTTGGAAGGTCTGCCTGCTCAGATCTCTCAGTGTGTATTTCCAGAACCAGAAAGATTAGCCTAAACCTACCCTCTGATGACAACCATTTAAAATGGAACCTACAAGTCCTGGAGACCTCAGACAAGCAGAGAGGTTTGTGAGGACGTTTCTCTCACAGCCTCCTCTGGGGACTGCAGTTCCCTCCCTTTCTCTTCCTTCCCTCAACACATGGGTAGGAAAGGCAGGAAAAGAGGCCAGAACTAAAAGGGAAGGTCAGTTAGTCTATCCCATGAAATCTTGAAGAAAAACGTTCCATCCAGGAAAAGTCTGTGAGCTTACTGTCATTTCTGGTCTCTGAGGGAACTGTGAGCCAAGGAAGGGCCACCTCTGGGCAAAGCTCCCCAGGAATGGACACCTGGGCTCCCCAAGACTCCAATCAGGAGCATCCTAGCTCTGCTCCGGGAAAAGAGGCACAGTCTCCCTCCAGGAGCCGCCAAACTGGTGGTCACAGAGTCGGCCCGCCGCACGGACCCAAGCTAGAGAGAGGCACAGCCTCAGCGGTGGGCATCTGTGGTGGATGCCCAGGGTGGGGCTCAGGACAGTACCTGTTACATGTGATTTGATTCATAAAGCTCACTGGCATCTGAGAAATTAACTCAGATTGATATGGGAGCCCTTTTAGAGACCCTGGGAATAGGGCATTGTATTTCTCTTTTTAAACCACAAGGGTGACTTTCTCTTTTTTAACCACAGAATTGACTTGGGAAAAATGTTTGTTGTTTGCTTCTCACATGCCAATGCTAGGAAATTAGCCACTGACCTCATAGCACTCGCAGTAATTCTTCAGGCAGCCGGACCGCTTGCAGTTGCAGCCTTTGTTATGACGAGGCTTAACATCTCCCAGTCTGCCTTTCCCAATTTTTGGTTGAAAAGCTTCTGGGTTTCTGTCAAGACATGCCTACGATAGAAAATGGAAGCTCCATAAAGAATGTGCTTTATGCTGAGCATGGTGGTGCACGCCTCTATTCCCACACTCTGGGAGTCTGAGGCAGGAGGAAGGCAAGTTTAAGCCAAGCCTGGGCAACTTAGTGACTTAGTGAGACCCTGTCTCAAAATGAAAAAAAGAGGTAGAGGGGCTGGGGGTATAGCTCAGCAGCATGGAGCCTGCCTGGCAAGCACAAGGTTCTGAGTTAGATTCCTGATTCAAAAAAAAAAAGGAGCTAGAGACATAGCCCTGGGTTCAACCCCCCATACCACAAAAACAAACAAACCCCCCCAAAACAAAGAATATGCTTTGTGACTCAGAACTGATGCTTAAGAGGCCAGGGATATAGCTCAGCAGCACAGCACCTGCCTGGAAGTACAAGGTTGTGAGGTCGATTCCCGGTACCAAAAAAAAGAAAAAAAGAACCAATGCTTAGTGACAGGCCTTTCAGTAGAGGCCACTGGTGGCTTCTAAGAGAAGTGCAGGGAGTAGGGAGTCCACTGCGACCAGGAGCAGGTGGCTGAGTTCCACCTGGCTCCTGGTCACCTTTTGGTCTCCACAAAGAAGTGTGCTACAGCCATGGTCTCTTTAGATTGGGATTTTTCTCTGCATTTCAAAGTCACACACATTTATTATAGACAATTAATGGACAATAAAGATGGAAAGAAAATCACTGTTTCCATGTGGATAGACCCTAGACTCCCTTCCAGCCATTTCCTGCCTCTTTTCCTAAGATAACTGATTTTGGGGGAGTGAGGGGTCCTGGGGGTGGAACCCAGGGCCTTATACATGCTAGGCAAGTGCTCTACTGAGCTGGATCCCCAGTCCTCTGAGACAGCTGAGGCCATGGTGCTATGCTGACAGCTCACACCGTGGGAACACAATTGAATGAACCACATCTCAGACATCTTTCCATGTGATGTTTACCTTTTTTCCTCATGTAATCCCCTCAGCAGGGGCCGGGGATGTAGCTCAGTGGCACAGCGCCTGCCTGGCAAGCGCAAGGTTCTAAGTTTGATCCTTGGTACCAAGAAAAAAAAAAACCCCTCACCAACCATGGGACCTAAACCTGCTACCGTTATTACCACCTTCTAGATAAAGAAACTGAGGCACGAGAGGCTAAATTATAGACGGCAAGCAGTGGACTCTTGAGTCTAAATCTTCAGGCGGACTCCAGAGGCCAGGTCTCACCCTGGCCATGCCTTTCCTACACGAGGCACATGACCTTCAGTCCTGATTTGCTTTTACTTCTTAATCTACCTGTCCTATGTCTATCTATACATGCAATTATGTACATTTTTTTTTAAAAGTGATTTGTCCTCCTCGTAATAATTCAGACATCACAGAATCACACTGGAGGTCCTGTCTCCCTCCCTCCTGAAGTTACTTAGCAGCCAGATCTGTGTGTCCGGCCCCAAGGCCACCATACTCCACTGCCCCACCGTGTGGCACTGGTCTGCGGCAGGTGGCTTTACCCACAGGTGTTACTACGGCGCCGCCTGCACCTGTAGGTACAGTGTGACGGGCTTGTGCCTGGGCACCACCCCCAGGGCTAGCTAGGGGCTCCTCTGTGGCTTCTCTCCATCATGAGCCCCCAAGGGAGCCACTGCTCAGACTCTGACAGCTCTACCTCCGCCCTGCTGGGACTTCATGTGCGTGGAACCCCACAGTGCAGCCTCATGGGTCCTGCTTCTTTCCTCGGCAGTGTCTGTGACTGTCGTTTGTGCCGCTGCGCTTAGCTGTGCTTCTTTCCTTTCCGCTGACATGTAATTTTCCATCGGACCACAAACCTGCCATTGTATCAATGGTCTCGTCCATTGGTGGGCTCGTGGCTGGTTTTGGCTATTTCTAATAAAGTTGCTGTGAACACTCTTGTGCAAATCGTTTGTGGACATTACTGCCCCTGACTGTATTTTTAGAAAAGAAATTGCTGGGGCACAGTATATGCAGGGCTTAGCTGTAGTAGCTATTGTCAAACCATTCCCCAAAGGGCTTGTACCAATTTATATTACTACTAGCAACACAACAGAATTCCAACTTTTATAATAAAAATTTTTCTACTTTTAATTGCAGATAATACCCTTTGTCTCTAATAAAATGTGACTAAAAGTTTAGATGTGTCATAATTTTCTTCTGTTCCATGGATCTAGTCATATCAAAATTAGTAAGATATTTCTAAGTGCTTTATCCATAATAATTCAAAGGGAAATTATTTTATAAAAGAATGAACAGGTCAACCATGACACAGGGTCATTTTGTTCCATTTGCATAGGGTGGTCTCCAGGCTATAGCTGATGGCCTGTCTTTCCTTTGTAAATCAGAGCCTCAGGAAGTGTCTCTCTGGAGGTTGACAGCCCAGCCTAATTGTGCCTCCCCTCCCTGATTATCTGTGTGCCTATGGAAAGGGTCAAAAACCACTGGCTCCTGCATTTAGCCAGCAGCAGAGCGGCCTTCGGGGCCATCGGAGGTGGCATTCTGCCCTCCTCAGGAAAGCCTGGATTCCTCCTTCCTCCTGGAAGCCGGGATAGAAAACTTCAAGTTACATGAGGGCTCTGTGTCCTCCCTGGTCCTCTTCACAGAGAGCTGCCTGCCTCTTTTCAGACTATACTCTTCCAACTCAAGCTCACCTGCTGCACAACATGCCCCAAATTTCTAACCCCCAAACCCAAACCAGGTGGACCTGCTAGAAGCAGCAGCTTCCTGGTGTTCCTGTACCCCGAAACCATCCCTCATGGGGAAGGTGGAGAGTCTTCCTCTGCCTGCCGCTGTCATTGGCAGCACCCCCACCACAGGCATAGTGACACTGTGCACATATATTCTTCACACTTTGGGTTTTTCCAGTACTGAAGTTAGGAATCTCTGGAGATCGTCCTGTGAACATCTCAAATGCTTTTAAATGCTTTTAAAATTTATTACCTTAATAGCATTAAACCGTTCGATTTCGTGATGTAAATTGTTGCAACAGTTATTACAATTGCAGTTGCTGCAAAAGTCCCCGCTGGCGAAGCAATCACAGTACCTGGGAAGAAAAGCACAGCGTGAGCCTGAAGTGCCGGTGGCACCACCAAGCAGTGATGAGAAAGGCAGGTGTGCAGCAAAAGGGCGGCCACTGGGCCTCAGCTGGGATGACTTTGGTTCAGGGGACTCTGACTACATCAGCTGGATGACGTTCTAAAGTGACTAACACCGGAGAAAGGGAGACTAGTTATTAAAGCGTGGGTTTGGTGACATATGGTCTTACAAAGTAAGACAATTTCTTGGAAGTTGTTCATTGCTGTCAACCGTCTCCAGCCCCCAGATGCCCTGCGCCACTGTGCCACCAATCTTCCCAATCCATCCAATCACTGAAGGCTGCTCCCCTCTTGATCGGAACTCGACCATGAGTGAAAAACAATGAGAGAGACCCGGCCTAGGCTTCAGCTTACTTTCAAGTCCATGAGCAGAGGAAATGAAGTGAATGGTAGAAAAAATAGGTGCATAAACACCTGCTATGACGCTTCCCTGTTGTACTGAGAGGGTCCTTCATGCAGCCTGCATTTCAGTCCTGCACAGAACTTAGTGAGAAGACCCCAGGGAGAATGTCTAGGGCACCCTATGATAGCTGCGCACGGCCATGAGGAGCCACCTCTGATGGCTTCCCTCTGTTCATAGCCATGAGCTGCTTCAGATGCCCAATTGCGCTGTGCCCAGAGGCTCCCACGGGCCTACGCTTACATTCTCTCCCTGTGGGCAAGTGGCACCCGAGCCAGACTCCTCCGATCCTACACCCTGAAGAGGTGCTGGGAACCTGGGGACCACTCTGCAGCTTCTGTTTGTGACACCTCAGTTTTCCATGTTAGTTCTGCCACCAACTCTCATGTTATCTACCATAGGTTGTTACCTGTCAGCACTGCAAGTTGAAAAATGGAAATCAGGGAGCTTAACCTGCCAGCATCAGAGGCCACACATAGTAGATGTGCTGCCTCAAGGCTGCATGAGCAGGGTAGACCAGATATCTGCAGAAGCCCCCTGTATTAGAAGCCCAAACACAATTCTTTATCCATTATTTTTGTATTGTTAGAGAATACTTTTAAGTGTATGTGAAGCCATCAAGAGTAAAGGAGATAATCAGAGGCCAAACTGACAAGAATTGTGAATCCAGAGAGGTACGTCTATAGCAACTAAGGATTGTCCTGAGACATCTGCTGTCCCTGGAGTTTGGGCTCCCACAGGCTGCTCATGCAAAGGACAGGAGACAAGGGCTACAAAAGGTACCAGTTAGCCCAGAGACCCCCACCTAAATGAGGATTCCTGCAAGACAACCTCCCAGGGGGCAAACAAACCTGCTCCCCGGAGGTGAGAATGGTGACATCTCTCTCTGGGGACAAGGAGAAACAGGCAGGCTTCTCCTGAGCCCTGCCAGGTGCAGGGTAGAGACCAGGGAAAGAGACAGTGGCAGGAGGTTCCAAGATAGAAAGCAGGGAGTGGGACCAAGGATTCCACATCCATAGGAAGAACTGAGAAGTGGCTCCTGGAGACCTGGGAGGTGGTGGCCCAGGCCCTTCCAGATGGAGGAGGGGGAGAGGGCCAAACAAGCAGGGATTGCCATTCCTTCCAGTAGGCCTTGAGTCCCAGGGGCCCCTTCCTGTTTCCCAGTTCTGGAGGCTGCCCCATCACTGTGACAAAAGACTAAATCACCCTCAGGATAAAACTACCGAGAACTAGGGTGTGTCTTTCTTTTCCTACTCAGCTCCTAGAATTCTAGCAGGGAGTGGAAAAAGCCTTTTGGAGCACTCTACCTGGCAGAAGAGAAAAGATCTAGGCAGGCTGACAGAGATCCTGCAAAAGGTGGGGTGTGGTCACCTTGCCCTAGATAAGGCCTCAGAGAATAGCTCCATTAGGGTGCAGGGGGTCACCCAGTCAGCTCACGCTTCTTACCACAAGCAGACCGACCTGGGAGATCAGCGGACATGTGAGGAACCTCCCCATGTGGCAGAGAGGCTACAGAAGCCAATACTGCAGAAAGAAAACCAGGAGGGAGTGGGACCCATGGCCTTAAGGTGATTAAGAAAAGTTATTGAATGCACCACATGAGAAAATGATGTTTAAGAAAACAGAGCAAAAAAAGATATTCTAGAATATGAAAAACCCTGAAAACTGGAACCATGGCTTGAATCACATGAAGAAGACGTGGGACCCAGAAGACAGGGAACCAAACACGAAAGAGAAGCACTCGGGCCCCTAGTGTGACAGTAGAGGGACAGTCCAGGATGGTAGCCACCACTCCTGAGCCGGGAGCGACACTCTGCAAAGCCTTCCTCCAAACACTGCAGCCTGCAGTGGACACAGTCACATGACCAGAGGGGTAAGTAGTGCTGAATCCACAGCAAACTGAGGGCTAAGTGCTGACCAGAGGAAAAGGTGAAGTACTGGGAAGGAAAGTCAAGTCTCAGCAAGGACTGGAGTTTTCACAGTCATAAAATATGCACGCGTAGAAATGATCTAACCCAGTACATCTGCTGTCTGGGTTTGGGCAACGTTGGGAGACGTTTGCGCCTTAGTGAGGAGAGGAGACCCAGCTAGATCCACACCTCCCATGGCACACAGTGATTGCACTAAAACTGGAAGTGGAGAAGCAGTGATTCGGTCCTGTTCATTAGACTGATTGAAGCAAATGTTAAAGGATCAGTTAAGACAGCTCAAAGTTCCTGCAGACAAGGAATAAGGAACCATTATCAGAGAACTACTGTTATTTTTGGCCACTGTCTAATACAACAATTTGGTTCTTTAGGTATATTGGTAATTTAGATAAAAATAAGAGAAGAAGAAAAAACTAGATTGAGATGAAGCACAAAAAGTAAAGAGATTAAAAATATGTAATCCCAGTACTCTGAGAGGCCAAGGCAGGATTGCAAATTCAGGCCCAGCATGGAAATTTAAGTGACTTAGCCAGACCCTGTCTCAAAACTTAGAAAAAAAATTTAAAGGGTGGGGATGTAGCTTAGTGCAAAGGCCCTGGGTTCAGTCTGTAGGAACACACACACACACACACACACAAAAAGAAGGTGAGTCAAGGTATGATGGGTCATGTCTGTAACCCCAGCTCCTTGGCAGGCAGAGGCAGGAAGATTGCAAGTTCAAGGCCAACCTGAGCAACTTAGCAAGAACCTGTCTAAAAAAATATAAAAATGCATAAGCTTGTGGGGATGTATCTAAGTGGTAGAGTGCTTCCCTCCCATGCGCAAGGCCCTGAATTTGATCCCCAGCACTGGGTGGGGGGTGGGTGGAGAGAAAAGAAGTGAGGGTAGGGAAATGGTCTCTGATTGGAAGGCTGATCTGTGCTGGAAACATTTCAGAGGAGAGGGAGGCACCTTTGGAGGGAGGGAAGAGAGAAACGAGTTTTCCAGAAGTGATGAAAGCTATGCATCCTCAGACTTGAGACAACTAATGACCCCCAAAAAGAAAATCCAAAGGCAAAAAGAAAACCTTGAGCATCAGAGAGAAAAGATACAATACAAAGACAGACACCGACTTGTTAGAAATAATGGAAGACAGTAAAATAATGTTTTCCAAGCACTGAGTACACCTGGCGATCTACACTCTTACTCACCAAGATCCAGGCAAGGCACGCTTCTTGCTCTAATTCTGTGTGTGGTTCTACTAACTCTCGCCATTCTACTTTTCACTTTTTGTTGAAGATTTTTAAACCATTTTCACCTAAACTGCTCTTTCCCACACTTCCGACTCTAAAACCCTGTCACAAAGAACTTCTCCAGCACCACGCCCGGGTAGGTGCCCACATCTGCCCTTTGCATTTCTCCTCTCCCAGGCACTCAGGTTGGCATTGGACCTTCCTTTCCTTCACAGACCCTTGCAGGCAGCCGGCCACCTTCCTGCTGGAACCTGAAAACCCTTCCGCTTTGGGCAGCATGGACACCGCAGATCCCAGAGCCACCCTCTCAGCCCTGGGGTGCAGCCCCCTTGGTCTCCGCCTTCACGCACTGCACTTCCCGACCCACCGCGAGCACAGCCCTGAGTCAGCTTGGCCACTGTTCTTTGCCACCGAGGCCCCTGATTCTGGCTCAGTCGTTTATTAATTTCATTCTTGACACAGTAAAATATAGAAAATTTTTAAAATATAACTAAGCAAGAAGAAAGAAGTTAGAATCACTCAGAATTTCACTCCCTAGGCTCAGCGGCATCTAGCTCAGTGGCACAAGTGCCTTCCTGGCAAGCGCAAGGTCCTGAGATCGATTCCTGGTAACAAAAAAAGAAAAAAGATAAAAAAGAAAAAACAAAGGTAAAGAATTTCATTCCCTGGAGATGATCATGTAAATATATTTCAGTCTTTCTCTGTAAAACTGTACAGACTGAAACAAGTCTATATGTGTGTTTGGTTACATATTACACATAAACAAAAACAGATCATCTTTTCATCCTGTCTCAGTGGGCTTTTATCACTTATCTATATAAGAAATCAACATAGCAGCTGGCTTTATTACTTACCAAACGTGTTTCCCATAAAAATAGATTTACATCCCATCATAATGGCTATATAATATGCCCTCCACTAGCAGCATCTTAATTTCTTTAATAATAAATAATTCCTCTTATACTGAACTTTTAGATGATTTAATATATTTTAGAAATATGATAACCAGCTGATGAGGATTCAGTTTATGATCTTTCAACTTTACAGTAGTGCAAAGTGATGTGCAGAAAGTGCACTAGAAACGCTATACGATGTTTGCTATGCTAGGGATTTTAAATGCACTTCCCAACGTGCCATGGCCTACAGGGATGCAGCTGTCCCGAAGTTGAGCAGCATCTGTGTAAGCAATGCTACTTGAGCGGGAGTGGTCTCCTCTCTGTTCCGAGAACTGTCTACCCGCCCCCTCTGGCATGGGACTTGTACCTGCTCCTTCTTCTGCCTGAAACCCTCTGAGCAGCCACACCAGGCCACTTCCACCTGAGAGCCCGCTTCATCCCAAAGCACCGTACCCATCCCACTGAGCCCGTGACGGTTCCCTGGCTACGCTT